GCCTGTCGTGTAAATTTCCCATTGACTGTCAACTCGATGAGCCAGTTCAGGTCAATTGTACATCTGTAAAGGAATGCGGATCAAATCAAATAAGCACCAGAAGAGAAACATTCTGCAGGTAAGCTTTCAGTTAGTTCAACCACGTCCCGCGTTCATTTAGTGAGCAGACGCCGTTGCTGTGCAAAATCGCGTCCGCGAGCACGGAGGATATCCCGTTTTCGTGACTTCAGAATGCGTGGTAACACCTTACCTGGGCGCGACTAGGACAATGCCCGCCGACTGCCCCATGCCACACCTAACGTTTAGCTTCAAAGGTTTCTTAGTGGTGCGATTGTTGCACAACTGTTTGTTTGCACTCCGAATGTGAAAGTGAGGTGATAACGGAAAGATCTGGTATCATCATGGTATCAGCAAGTGAGGATTCTATTGAGCACATCCTCTTTTTTGGAGCAAGCTTGGCTCGGCATGGAGTCCTATGTGAGACAGTTCGGATGGGGCTCTCTTTCTTTTTTTACAATATACAAATTTTCTCGGAGGCGGAGGTGGTGTAGTGACAAGTGGCGCGCTTACCACTCGCGCGGCGCCGGGTTCAAATCCCGGGTCGACTCCCGCCCAGGCCAACCAAGCCTTCTACCCTCCGGGGACGGTATATTGGTGGCCCCCGCATAAGCCACTACGACTGAATGGAAGTAGAATGCGTGCCGCATCCCACAAAGGGATTGATCAACGGCGAAGACTTTATCCTTTATTTTTTATCCTTTATACAATTATTTTCTCAACCACCCTGTCCTCAGTAAATGAGCCCCCACTAGCGGCTATTTCCGATTGCGAGACATACCTCAAGGTCTGCTATGGACCTTTTTCTGGAAACCCCTGTATGTCAACAAGTCCATACAAGTGCCCTAGAAGACCAAAATTTTAAAAACAAACAGCTTTGGTTTATGAAAGGTATAGGACGCATGAAGGCCTTGATTCAAGAGGAACAGAAAGTCTTTCTCATTCTCTTTTAATCTTCTATTTCTGTTCTTCTCCGATATCAAAGCTTTGTTGTTTCACCTATTTAACGGTTCTCTTTAGTTTTACCCAGCTCCATTAGATGTCATGAAGTTCAATCATGTGGCGTTCTTTGACCACCTGAACAATTTATTTGATGCACACTCAGGCGCGCTGTTACAGTTCTTTAAACTCACTAATGATATGATAAAATTATCTTCATCTTCAATAGGGTTTGGTTGAGTTGCACACGCGTGACCAATAGGTAGTGTTCCAAAATTTACGCATGATTCAAAATGAATAGTAAACAGTTTTTTTTTATTTGTTGGTGTGAAGTTTGCGTACACAGGATGGGGTTTTGTTGAAATAGCACATTGGACGAACGATTCCGCGACTTGGTTGGCACATCGGCGACACCTTTGGAGACGCCAAATCGATGCCCTTGGACTTCCATCAACACTCGCACTACTTCTATACTATAAATTGACCAGCTTGCTTGTTCTTGGACGCATTAGATCAATTTGGGACCTCAACACGTCAACACCCAGCCAACCAAGAACAACAGTTTCGACCATTTCCTTCGCTTTTCGCTCTTTTCTCACTATATAGCACTCCTGTTACCATTACAAACTGAGGACCAAATAATCGTGCCTTATCCTTTAAGGTATTGCTGGCAGTCTTCTCCATCAGATTACGACTGCTTGCCTCAATCTAATTGCTCCACAACAAGTTCTCAGCTGGTACTGACCGAGTGCGTGGTAAGCTTCCTTTCATCTCTTCAGTTCGTAATCTCTTCGCTTTTAATCCCTTATTTAGGTCCATCCAAATGTCATATGCAAGGGTCGGCGATCGTTCAACAGGCGCGTCAGGTGTGTTTGAGTGTGGTCAATTTGTTTATTCGTTCTTGTTTTGCATTGAGCTTTCCACTACTAGACTTCTTTGTTAAGCGACAGACCCCAGTACTTCTTTATTTATGTGAACTGAAAACTAGTTGTTATTTGTTAACTCTTCCATGTGCGAACAGCTTGAAATGATGATACCTTGTTCAGTTTTTCGTTAAATAATTAGGCTCATTGTTACAGATGTAACTGGTCATCCGGAATCAGCTGGGCTAAAGCGATGTTTCTGTCAGTAACGCTCGGTATGCTTTTTCAAACTGGTAACTTTCCGAACTTGGCTTTCGCGTGAAGATCTAAAACTTATTTTCACAGTAATCGTTACGAACACCCGTTCGTTCCTTCGCCATTTGCCACAAGAACGCTGAGTTAACGGCAAAAGTCTCACCCCAAACGGGACTCGAACTCGCGTCCTCCGCTCCGAGCGAGTGTCTTTTCCATTACTATCCTTTATTTATCAAATGAAAGCGGTACTGGTAGCGTAGTAGAAAGCGCACTCGCCTGATCAGCTGGAGATGCAGGTTCGAGTCCCGTGTGGGTTCTGACTTTTGCCCATAACTCAGCATTCTTGTGATAACTTTCAAAGCGTTTATTGAGACGATTAACAGCACTTTGTGGTTACAGGCGGTTTCGGTGCCGATCGATTCTTATCTTGGTCTATGGAAATCGGCCATCGGTAAACTGTTCAGTTTTGGAGGACTGGGCATCTGGACCATCGTCGATGTTGTTCTGATAGCCACAGGATATATTCGTCCCGCTGATGGGTCATTATACATTTAGTTACATTGTGCGAATTTGTCGAAATTCGGGTATTTTTCTAGCTTTCGCTCAGCGATGTTTTTGTACAGATGATATAAATTATGTTCCATCATATTATGTTGTTTATGAGCGGCTTCAGCGCGGTCGATTCAATCGGTCGACGATAATTGGGTCACATCGCGGCCGATGAGGCGGAAGCGGAGGCCGTGGCGGCCCCAGCAGTACGAGTATGTTGCTTGGCGTTCGAGTTGTTAGAGGGTCGACGATCCCTTTAACAATTTGATCAATTTGGCGTGCTTCGGAACCGTACGTTGGCCGTTGAATAGCGCTTTATCGCGTCCCTTAATTAATCTGTGCTTGTTGAATGAGGCGTTGCTTTTGCTGTCCTGTTCCTTTAGTTGTGATCACTTGCTGGGACGAATTTCGTTTGCAGTTCACTCCTCATTAAGATGCGACATGAAAGGTAGTCGGAAAGGAAAAGTAAGGGCGAGAACTTGGGAGGTTATAGATGTAATTCTTAGTCCGATCCAGAATCAATATTTGCTTTTTTGTAGTACTACTGATTCCTAATCGGCATTTGAATTGAGACTTTCGTAAGAGATCGGGAAGTTCTTAACGTAACAATACATCTTTGGTTTTCTTGAAATGAGGTTCTTAATTAATCACTGTGTTTGTATGCAATCCTGCCGGTGTAGCCTCCTAATCAGAAATAGCCGAGGGGCGTGACAGGGCAGAAGCGAATAATCGCCCTGGGGATTGCGATGTCCTAAGGACCAAACAACAAATAATGACAATGCTATATGTTAATACGAGAAATGGGAAGAGGAACGGAGGGCAGGATTCTAGCAGTCTACACGGCGCTTCATGTTGAACAGGCACATGAAAACGCAAGCATGCCAGAAACGAGAAGTTGAGCGCATACAGAGTAACTGAATCTGATTGTAAGCGAAAAAAAAACTGGGCAGCAGCATAGTGGTATTGAAAATTACTGAGCCGTTCTAGCAATTCACGATGGGGTTCATGTTGGAAATTCACATGACAACCCTCGTGCATATGCTAGAAAAGAGAAAGATTCCATCAAAACACTGAAGCAAGGTAACCCGTAAAAATGATGTTGGTGTTCAGTGAAAACCAAGTAGAAACTACATAGAACACGTTCCAAAGTGGTAGGAGCGAATATGGACGCCGCAGCAGTGAATATAGGTGCTGTTATAGCTAAGAAACCAGTCGAAATCGAATTAACAATTCATTCCAGAGTTTAGTGGGACGCCGCGAAACAATGCTAATCCTTTGCTCCAACGACAACAGATGGATACGGTAATGCAACCCCGGGATTGCCGCGCCGCGTCGCCACGCGACACGGCGCGGCAATCCCGAGGGTTATGCTTGTTGTGCGCGTGACCTGTAGTTGCCGACGATAGAATCGTCCGGGACCCGTTTATGAGCGCCTTCAGCGCGGTGCCTATGAACAACTTGAACTATTTTTAATTTTTAGCTCTATTATTCTCGCCAAAATACTGGGAAACGCACCTCCACTCTTTGACCATGATAATTGGCACACACATTTGGAAGGACCTTCTTTATTATGCACAGACTTGAGACTTCACCTTCATTCAGAATAAGTTCAATTCTAGCTGAACCTAAATGGGCGCTCTCCTTCAGGAAAAGTGTCCTAGCCCTTTGCAGAGAGCACGGTAACGCGTCCAGTAGTTGCGCTTGCGCTGTAGAGGACTCGAGTGGGTAAAAGAACGTCATAAGCCTTCCACTACATGTCAAATATTCCACCCATTACACGCGCTTTTCTGCGTAATTTGGCATTCAACAAAATCAAATACATCTGAAAGAGTCGATGGTGTTACCTCACTGTCGTCATTATCGTGCAAACCAATACAGAAAATATCTTTTTTTTAATGCTTTGAGGATTGCGCTGTTGGTTTAGCAGTATCACCTGCTCCGATGCCGCCATAAGGCCGCGTTCATAGCTTGCGTTCGTGAAGAAATGCGGAAAATGCAGAAGTGCGGAATCTGCAGAAAAGCAATAGATACGTATCGACTTGAAGAAATGCCGAAACTGCAGAAGTGCGGAAAGTGCAGAAATGACGAAAAGCATTACATACGTATCAATTGAAGAAATGCCAGAAATGACCGAAAAGTTGAAGCAATTGCCGGAAAATGCAGAAGTGCGAAATCTGCAGAAGATAATAGATACTTTCGACTAAGAAATGCAGAAAAGCGAAATCGATACGTATCGGTTGCTTTTCTGCACATTCCGCACTTTCGGCATTTCCGCAGGTTCAGCACTTCTTCACTTTCGGCATTTCTGCAGATTCCGCATTTCTTCACTTTCGGCATTTCTTCAAATCGATACGTATGTAATGCTTTTCGTCATTTCTGCACTTTCCGCACTTCTGCAGTTTCGGCATTTCTGCATTTCTTCAAGTCGATAAGTATCTATTGCTTTTCTGCAGATTCACTTCTGCACTTTCCGCACTTCTGCATTTTCCGCATTTCTGCATTTCTTCACGAACGCAAGCTATGAACGCGGCCATAACGCTGATCGGAAAGTTGATGCGCGCCCCCCTGATATGGTCGCGTTCAGACTTCTTGTCGGCTTCTGCGCGCCTTGAGCGTTTTGTGCAAAAAGGTTAGCAGGGGTATAGATCTAGCTTTCGATCGTTCCGGGCTCAAAACGCTAGGTCGACGTCCCTCTCGCACAAAACGCTGACCAGGAGTGTGAACACGCCTGAGACTGATCAGCAGTACCTGCTTCATCTTCACCATGTATTACGACTATTAGATATAGACAATCCAAAAACCTTCCCGGCTTGATGAGCCCCTATCCTTGGGGATAGGAGCTGAGTTTTCCAATAAGGAACTTTTTAGCAAACTTTTGGCAGAATTATTCTTATAGCTTGTAAGATTGCAGTATAAAATTGCTACTATTGAAAGATGGAAATATAGCAACTTCCTCCAATCTCTTCACCAATCCACCAATATTCGCTTATCGAGAGCATGTCCAATCAGCAAGTAGTTGTCGCACGTTGATCACCTTCTCGAGAGAGTATTTCTCGATCTTGTGACCATGCAAGGTGATCGAAGCAATTTGAGTGTTTTCTGGTAATGTACAGCGTTTGTGCGGTCATTGTAAATTGAGGTAATGACAATTGAAAATTGAGAGCCTGTGATTTTTCATTTGCTTTCCGGAAAAACAGTTTTGATGTATATATCGATGTGCCATCCTGGCCTTTTTGACCGTTTTGACTTGCTTTTGCTTGGTGTCGCATATCAGCCACTATGATATGTCGTGGGGAAGTGACTGACGCTATATAATGCTCTGGCTTACCCTCAGGTTCCAACTAGGGCTTATGTCGCAGATATTAGCTTGTAGAGCGAAAGTAGGTGTGTAGAAATGAAGAAGAAAAGTGTTTCTTGTTACCCTGGTGAGATAAACTCAGACACTTCAACTTGCAAATAGTCCGTAGCTAAACATGTATAGCCAAGATATCAAAACAATGCCAACGAAAGATAATTGCAACATTTATAACAAAACAACATGGTTGAAAACAAATTAGAGCTCAACTGGTTTAGCGTGCTGACGAAGCTCGGTTGCGATTCGATCCAAGTCCTTCCTTCCCTGCAATTACAAATTTGAGAGTACTTGCATTTGCCCAGACATATTTAGGTTACGATAGCTGTTCTGGCAAAAAAGACTCTGACGCAAATTATTGCTGACAAGGCGAAAAAATAAGAACATTGTTAAAACTTTCTACCACACATAATAAAAACAAATCGCATTAAACAAACTGATATACCTGCTTCGACAAGAC